AATGTTCAATGAACGAGAACACAAATTAACTAATTAGGTTTACGAGAGCACAACACGAATAATTCGTGAACTTCAATCAGCTCACTGTATTCACAAAATGTTTATAATCCTTGAAAGTTCTTTTGTTTATTGAGAGTTAATAATTTGAGCACTTTTCTGCTGAAGTGTGTAAACAATAAGTGCAAGAAAAGTCTATATATATATGCTCAGTTTCTATATACAAATTTACAAATTAATGTTCATTTCACGAGTGTGAAAACCAAATTTCTGTATTAAAGGTTAGAACAAACACTTCAATTTATAGTGCATTTCAACCGAATCGGTATTCAGTATTTATTAATTCATTGTTCGACTGTTTTGAGAAATTGAAACGGTCTTACTTGCTTAATCCAGTTCATACCGGTAAATCCATATAGTGATTATTTATCCATTTATCACTATTCGTAGTAATTTGCACTGTCAGCTAAGGGATTTTCCACTAAGAGAGAGAACACAATGATATACAGAGTTGAAGCCCGTCGAGAGTGAGACAGGAATAACCTTAAACAGGCGTAGTAGAGAATTTTGCTAGGTCCGAGATGACTTGCAACAATTTAGGGGTTAATTACATGAATTGTAATCAATAATATCGTTGATAATATAGGCCATGTCAGGCCTTGAGACACTGGGAGTAGTATTTTACTATAATTCGCGTACTAACGGGGGTTTTCTGGGGGTTTTTTCCTCTGTAGAGCGTTCAGAGGCGAGAGGGTGCAGAGTCTTTGCTTACTCTTCTGCTTCTTGATTACTACTGTTGTGTACCGTGCCGTGCGTCGAGTCGACTGCCTTTTTCGGAGCAGGTCGCATAAATCAGGGATGTTGGGTGGCAACTGACCAATCACAACAACAAAATAGATCCATTGCTCATAGGGTAATGAAGAAATCTGTAATTTTACCGATTCAAAAGGGCTGCTGTTGCCAGTTTTACAGGAATCTTTTTTTAGAATATTATTTTTATGATAAATAATAGAAATTGATTATATTGATAAACTACAAATAATAACATTTTAAACTTGTTGTCGGTTATTTCCGCAACACATGTATTATTCCCAGGTTTAGAATACCTCTACTTCCGGTTTTTCTTGGCAGGTAGAGCCGGCACGTGGATGAGTTTGGATGGCGACACCTAAATTTGATCAACATTGTTCGTACCAGTCTATCCAATCCGACGAGATCTGTGTTCGTCCAGTGGATAACTCCAAACGTATGAGTTACGACGGGTAGAACCCAAGAATTGATAGCGTTTACGAGAGATTTGGAGTACAACTAAGTTTTTAGTACTTTTCTGAGCCTTGTTAGTAGGTTTTCATTGATTTGTTCCTTCATAAGTCGTTGTTCGTTGGTAAGGCCTTGTTTTACACCCAGGTATTTATATTTCTCATCTTCAGGCAGTGCAGCAAACTCCGTGGTATCCAAGAATTGGATGTTTTTAATTTCCTGGACCACACCTCGCTTTGCAAATATAAAAGCACATATTTCTACCCCAAACTCCATTTTTACACCACGGCTGAACGCCAATACCAGTTCCAGTTGACTTTGTAGCTCTTCCTTTGAGAATGCATAAATCTTTAAATCAGAGATTCTTTATTTATGTTGTATCCGTAGCCGTGTTCTTTAAGCATATAGCTTAAAGGATTAAGGGCCATGCAGAAGAGCAGCGGGCTAAGGCTATCACCCTGAAACATGCCCCTCGCGATACGAATGGTATCAGTGGTGTATTGATTGTTGACAATTTTTACTTGTAGCTCGGTCTGCCACACTCTCATGGTTTGCTTTAGGAATCCTCGGATCGTGTTGTCAACTTTGTAAATTTGCAGAATTTTGTGTATCCATCAGTAGGGTACCGAGTCGAACGCCTTACGGTAGTCAATCGAAGCTACTGCTATGTTTCGGCGCAACTTGACTGCTTGTCTGGTAATCACGGAGTCTATTATTAGCAATTCAGCACTCCTTTTGCTCGATTTCCGGCACCCGTTTTGTTCTCTTGCCATGGTATTATTGGTTTTCAAATAGTCAATAATTTTAGTTTCGATCACAGAGGTAAGTATTTTATATACATATAACAGGTAGACGTGTATATATAATGTTATTATTATTATTATTTTTTATCCACCTTTAAAGGGAAAATGGTTTCGAGTCGTAACCGGGCCGAAGTCAAGGTTACGTCTCGTGCAGCACATACCGCCGCACTACATGACATGTTCCAAGCACCACTGGTCTTTGCATTAGTCCGGCCAGTTCTCTGCCCAGGTCGACTTTTTCTAGATTTTTAACAAGACGTTTTTCTACTAAACCTGTGTGGCAGAAATTATGAACGGTAAGACTTTGATTTTCTTGAGATCGTAGATTCTTTTTAATTCGTATAACAAATCTTGGTACTTGGTGACTTTCCCTGTGTAGGAATTCACTATGTTGCTGTATGCTGATACTGCAAAGTCAATGATAAATGCATATTTACTTGTTTTGTTAATGTAAAGAATGTCTGGTTTATTGTGAAGGATTTGCTTATCAGTTACGATCAGCGTGTCCCAGTAGATTTTTGTTGTTTCATTTTCGATGATAGACCTAGGGTTGTACTTGTCATACGGAGGAATTTCCTTGATGAGATGATTCTTGTGACAAAGATGACTATATACGATTTTCGCTACGTTATTATGCCTGTTCTAATACTCTTTTGGAGCAATTACACTACATGCGGTGGTAATGTGTTGTATTGTTTCAGGGTTCAGGTTGCATACTTTACACAAGTCTGTTGCAATGGCTTGTTTCATCACGTGGCGTACATTGTACCTTGTCGCTACAACCTGGTCTTGTACCGCATTTATTACCCCTTCGGATTCTCGATTAAGCCAAGCCTTTTGAAGAACAGGCACGAAGCTTCTTTGCCGATCTCGTTACTACATAGAGCTGCTGCAAATCTGCTGTGTATTTCTTTTGATAGCCATTTTTGTATCATCCCTTCCTCATGGTTTATTATCTGGAGTTCCGCTGCATGTGCTAAATTGAGTGGGCTGAAGTTTTTGTCGACATGAATGATTGCGACGTGGATAGGTAAGTTGGAGTTTCCGAAATATTTCATCAAGTTTTCTTTTTGTTTCAGGTGACTCGTCTTCAGAGAATAGAGCCCGCGTCCACCATTTGTCCTGGAGATGTACAACCTAGTAGTAGAAACTATGGGGTGGTGACTACAGTACGAGGTAAGTAGACTTCGCACTAATCGGTCTATTTTTTTCAGATCAGTATCAGACCAGTTGAGGACTCCAAAAGTGAACACTACAAAAGGTATAGCCCAGGTGTTGATCGCAGTGAAGTGTTTTTTTTTGCATTTAAATTAGTTTTTAGTAAGAGCTGTATTCTTTTCTTTAGCTGCTATATGATGTTTTCCTTCATGTTTGATGTTTTTATTTTCAAGTTGATTATGAAGCTGCTCACCGTTAGCTACGTAACACTTGAAATCGTCCATATAGAATCCATGGGTCAGTTTTTGACCTCGCTGTCTATTTTATAGCCATGGTTTCGGTTAAGCAGTGAACTCAGTGGGTTGAGAGCGAGACAAAACCACAAGGGGCTCAGACTGTCTCCTTGAAAGATTCCCCTTTTGACTTGCAAATATTTAGTGAGATACTGTTGTTTCTGTGCCCAGACTCCAAGCCTCGTTCTCCACTTTTGCATTAGGTGTTTCAGTAGATTGGCAACTGATAGGTCTATTTTGTAGACTTCGAGCACTTTTATCATTTTTTTATTAACCAGCTGTGCGGCACGTAGTCAAAGGCTTTTTTGTAATCAACCCAAGTTACCGAGAGGTTTCTTTGCTTTGTTCTTGCTTGGTTGGTTATAATTGAGTCGATTATAAGCAGCTCTTTTGTGCCCTGAGATTTCTTTTTACATCCCAGTTATTCTGATGCAAGAATCTGGTTCTCAGTTACATGTTTCTCAATTATTTGTGCGATCACTGATGATAGGATCTTATACTGGACAAGCAAGTTATTGGGCGGTAATTTTTAGGATTTTGCAAATCTCCACCTTTCAGTAGCATGGTTATGATGCCCTCCATGAGAAATTGCGGCATGAGGGTTAGATTCTCGATTATGGCCTGAAATTGGGATGCTATCGTTTCGTGCACTGTGGTAAAGTATTTCCACCAATAGTTTTGTATTTTTTCTGATCAAGGGCATTTCCAATTCGCACAGTGTTTAACAGTTTTCTTGATATCCGCAAACTCAATTCTAAAGTTTTCGATAGCTGGGTTTCGTCTGTTTTCATCAGTTTTTTCCTGAATCCAATACGCATTCTGTTGGTGGTAATCAGGTATGGACCATATGTTTTCCAAGAATTTTAGCATGGTTTGTGGTTCAGGGGGTGAGTGTTCTCCTCTTCCTCTTTATAGGCTGGGTCAGTGCACTGTAAAACTTCCCTGGTTTTCTCTGTACCTGCGATTGCGTTTGTTGTATCGACGTATTCTTGCTCCTAGCACAGCTACCCTTTGCTTTTGTTTATCTAGGTAAGTATTAAGTTGGTAGTTCGCGGAATTCCTTTTGATTTTTGCTTCTTTCGCAATGGTCTTGATTTCCGTTTTTAATTTTCTTTTGTGTTCCTTGGGGTTGGTGAGGTAGGCTTGCAGTTTTCCGATTGTTTTTCTGATGTAATTTAATTTTCTCTCGATTCTTTCTTTCCATGGTGGTGAGCGATTAGTATTTGTTTGTAACTTGTCTTTCTTTTCTTTCTTTATTATTATTGACGTACTGCACTATTTGTTGTTGATGTTGATTATTATTGAAATGACATAACAGGATTTAGGTATATTTAAAAAGATCAGACTTATTATCATTATATCATCTGACCAGGATTTAATCAAATCAAATCAAGCATCCTTATCATTGCATTAGAAAAATATTTTGAAATATTCAAATATGTGATAAGTGTGTTTTTACAAAATAAATTCACAAATAAACAATTCTTACCTGCAGGATTAAGTCCACCAGTATTAGAGGGTGCCAAACCACCCAAGCCAAGAGCAGCCAAACCTGCCAAGGGATTTTTGGTAAGATTCGCCACCTGAAACAAAATATGTGGACCGTGCTGAAATGTCATAAATGTCGATATCGTGATGTGAATGTCTGCAAATTAACTTTTTTTTTTTATTGAAATGAGTTTGGGTTAATTTTGGTTACCAGACCAGAAGTAAGTCAATCCGATGGTGCCCCACAGACTTTTCATATTCTTAAAATTCGCATGCAAAATGGCATAGAATATTTTATTGTTGAAGAGATAAGGGTAACTTTATCTTCTTCTACATTTCCAAAAACAATATATGTACTCTCTAACACAATTATGGCAACATACTAACATTAACATGTTCACTAAATCACTACATTAAATAACAATGAAACATGCTGTGGTGTTTCTTGTTTAGAGATGGAATGTTCGGGTCGAATACAGACAAATTAATGGTCCTGGATTATATTGAAGGGGGGTTTGAATGCGAAAAGCGATGAACTTGAGAGTTGCTGTTTTATTATTGAGGTTTGAGATTTCTATTGTATAGGTTCGATTTTGTGCAGTCGGATTTACGAAGTGGCGGGTGTAGATAAATGCAGAACGTTCGCAAGTGCAATGCTATACCTAAATGGGCGCAGATATTTTTGGTTATAGAGAATTAATTATTTAATTAATTGATTAAGTAATTAAGAATTCGCTTGGAAACATTCCAGCTATACGAAAATGCATGTAAAAAGTATTCTATACATAACTTTCATCCACTCGAAACACAATAATTTGCTCTTAAATCAAATGCTAGCAATAGTCTATAATAATAATATAATAATGATAATAGTCTTTATTTGTAGCACTTGGCTATCAGCTAAATTGTAAGCATCAATAGATTTCTATTTATTGTTTCAAATGCTCTGCTGAAGTATCACGTTGATCATTTTCCTTTTTCTAGTTGAAAATTAACGTCTATAACACACTTTCGAATAAGTTGTTTTTTCCAAATAAATATTGCATGACATTTTTATCATACAGAATCCTTCTAATTTTTTGGATCCAACTGTATTATTATATTCATCAAAACCCGAGGGGTAAACCACCTTGGAATTATAGTGTACAAGCATGTGGGATTCCAGTGGAATTTCAGATTCTGTAGGTAATTAGTTCAGAAACTCCTGATTTTTATATCGGAACGACAAGAGTTTCAAAAATGAGAAATGAGTAGAACTTAAATTACTCATGAAATGTATTTTATTTATTTTCAGGTCAGAATTTTTCTTATCAATGAGTGAATTACTCAAGCGTGGAATTTGGTTGCTAGGTGTCGTCGAAATCTCTTCCCGTAATTTAAGTCTGTGTTGTTTTGTTTCAAATATGTCACAAATGATTATGTACAATGTGGAGTTTTTAGAGTTGAGTGTTTACGAAAGCTCCTAATTTGACGAAGAACTCTGAAGAAGGCCTGATATAAGGCCGAAACGTCGACGAATTTTTAATCCACGAGTTTGATTTTTGTCTTAAAACCTCACGATTCTCATCAACTACATTAGTTTGGAGCTTCAAATTAATTTCTCCACAAAAAGGAAACTTCAATTCATAATTCAAGTCACTGTGACCATTAGAAGTACTTTGTAATTACAAGTGATTTTTGCAAATTTTAATCATTTTTGCGTGCATCAACGTGAGAAAAAGCTTCCAAATTTAGTTTGAAGCTTCAAATCAACTTCAAATTAACTTTTCCACAAAGAGGAAACTTCAATTCATAAATCCTGGAAGTTTCAAGTCACTGTGATCATTAGAAGTATTTTGAGCAAGTGATTTTTGCAGATTTTAATCATTTTTGCATGCATCAATATCAGAACGACTCATTGATGAGTTGATTGCTGCGGGGATCAAAAATGACTAGAACTCAATTTCCTCATGGAATGTACCTACTTTATACTCATTAGTCCAAAATTTCATTCGTTTTCAGTGGAATTCCAGTAGGATTCCGTTAAAAGTGTGATTCTGGTGTACACATTTTTCAAGGTGGTTTACCCCTTGTCATACCCTTTGGGTTCTTAAATGTGTTGGGAATATCTTAAAATTGGGTGTAAGCCTGATGGAAATAAAGAGCTATTCATTTATATGGTTACTCTTGAAACTTCAAGATGATTTTCGTTTAGAATTCTTCTATATAATACTTGTAAATGATTCCTACTACCCACAAAGTTTCAGCTTATTTTTAAATGTAATTTCTGTTCAATTACATAGATGCATCTTTATTGATCATAACTAAGGAACATTACATTATATGAGATAGAAGATAAGTTGCCATTAAGTAAATCTTACTGTACAACCAACCATTTTTTCCAACAAAGTGTACAACACACTCTCAAAGCCCAAAATAATCTTGCACGTTCACAGACAAGTGAAAAAGTCACTGATATCACAAAGGAATGCAGGGATCAACTAGAAAAATTAATCAAGTAAACTGGATAGTTTTGCTGGTGGCGTGTTGAGGAGTTGCTGGGGGGTGGTTGGGGGGGTCACCAATTACGGTCGATCAACTTACGTCTGGCAGCAGGTGTTGAGGCGGAAGAGCCGCGTGAGCTGGCATCGGTCCATTCTTCAATTCAAAGAAGGGCGTCGGGGGCGGCTGTGGGGCGACAGCGAGAGCAGGCGGCCCGAAAGGGGACGCGTGGTGTGGGTGGATATGGTGGTGGTGGTGGTGGGGTGTGGTTAGGAGAGGAGAAATGAGAGGGGTACTTACGTCAGCAGCGTGCGCGGGCACGGCGTATTGGCCTTGGATTGTGTATGCTTGTCCGCCAGCCAGGATCACAGGACCGTTGACTTGGGGTTTAGGTCGGTAGGGGATGGTGGCACCTTTAGGGGGGGACTGAAAAATATCAGAATTAAAAATACTTAAAAACCTTATAAAACAATCTCTATACCTCGAGCATAACTGTACAAATGTGATGAATACACTGTGTAATAGATTCTCCCGTTCCTGATATGGTTACAGCTCTTTCTGTGGAGTTGGGCAACATTTCACTAGCGACTTGAATCGAGGCTCCGGACATTTCGCGTATTTCCTTGATTTTTGAACCACCCTTGCCGATTAACGAACCGCACTGACTAGCCGGCACAATTAATCTCAGTGTGATGGGAGGTCTAGGAACATTGCTGGCACTATTGGAATTGTCCTGGAACTGCGAACACCACTGTGTGGGGCGGGGAAGAATATAAGTTAAACGACAACATTTAGTTCTAATGGATAAAATAATTTAAAATAAAAATGTGCTCTTTAGAAGGGTACATGCAACTAAATAAAATAACAAAAATAATGCTTGAGATTACACAGAAAGCGACTTACCTCTTCGAACTTTTTGCATATTAATGTGAAAGCTTTGAAGATGGCACTCTGGGCTCCTGTTACTGTAACGATCCTTTCGGGACAAGATCCATCTGAAATATTTATTTTGGCCCCAGACTAAAAGAATAAATAAATTAGCAAAATTGCAATCAAGAATAAAATTAAGTTGATAAAAGTTCAAATTACTCACTTCTTCTCTGAAACGTTTGACGATTTCGCCTTTTTTGCCAATAATACTTCCAACTTCCTATAAAGAAAAAAATATGAGGGTTATTTTCAAATACTATAAACTGTATTTTAGGTAAATTTCCATCCAATGCAAATCCTGAGCGCTTTCATTAAATAGGCGGGAACGAAATTATACAAAGCGGCGTTTCCCATTTACCCAGTTTAAGAAAACACTCAGGTAACATTACCCCTTTAAACATATATATATATATTTTTAAATCACATAAATATTTGTTGAAAAATAATTTATTTAAAGCTGCTTTATACAATCTTCAACCAAACTTTTCATGGTGTAGCGCGCCCATTCAACAAATCCATTGTTGGTTTTTACTTTTACGCGTTATCGCCTTGAAATTGAATGCGTTCATTTATATTACTTGGAAACAATAAAGCCTGCATAGTCCTGTTTTATCTGCCATTTAGCTCCATAATCATTCCACCTGAAAGCAGCATGATATTTAAAAAAAAAATTGTAATCAACATTCATGAATGTGTATGGAATTATTCAGTCCATGAAGCAGGAACATACACGAATTGAAACTGGTTCCAAGTGACGAGATGGAGAAGGGAACCCATGGAAAATTGCAATTTGAATCAGACGAGTAGGTTGAGCTGACAAACGATTCCCATTGACATGAGCTTTGTCTACAGCACGAACAGACTAAATTGTTCTTATTTTCGAAGAAAACTTGTAAGACGTGAAATGTATTGTCCACAAAGGCATCAAAGTAAAATATCACTTTGGCACTTTATGTTGTCTTGTTAAAATAAATGACAATAGTATATTGTTGTATTAGACTAACCCAAAAAACTCAAACGAGTGGTAACCCCGTCGCTCGTGCATCTTCCGTAAACGTGGTCGAAACGACAAACAGAGAAATACTAAAACTGAAACTAAGCTTAAGATAGCAACCTGGAACGTAAGAATCTTACAGGACAATCCAAAAAATGTGTGCCCAGAACGGAAAACAGCTATTGTAGTAGAGATGCAATATAGACATTGAGGTTTTGAGCGAGACTAGATTTGCTGACAATGGTCAAATTAAAGAACATATCGGTGGCTATGCAATATATTGGATTGGTCGCTTTGAAGAGGAGCGTAAACGAAGAAGCGTCGGTTTCGCAATAAGAAACTCTTTGGTGAAAGAACCAAATCTTCCTGAAGGTAAAAACAATGTGACACACACAGATCAGATTTTTAAATTGGACACAAAAAATAATGACTTAAAGGAATGTATCAAAGATCAAAAGGATAAAATGAATGTATTAGAAGGTAAAATAAAATTAGTGGAAAGCGCTAGCAAAGATTTAAAAAATGAAAAGTGTGAACTAACGGAATCTCTGGAAAACCAAAATGTAACTATAAAGCGCCACAAAAGAGGATCTCAAATACTGTCTGATAGTGTCATAGAGCAGGAAAACTATAGATCCGAATTGGAGGAGCGATAAAATTAAATTCAAGTCCTAAATGACAAGATTGCTGCTCATAAATCACTGTTATTGGAATATGACGAAAATGTAAAATTTAAGGATGAGAATATTAATAAATTGAAATCTGAATTTGAAGATTTACATATGGATAGCTGAAACCTAATCTTAACAATCAGAACATTAGAAGCTGACAATAAATGTCTTCGCAATGAGCTTCAAAGCTTCAAGGTTGATTGTGTCGACGTTGACTTCTTATCCTCGGTGAATAAAAAATTAGGTAATGAGCTTCTCATTGCACTGGATAACCAAAAAAATGACGGAATTGAATCTGGAGTAGAATTTGTTCGGCATCTAGACTGTTCGCTGGAAGGTGTTTCGCCTGAGAAAACTACAGTTGGAGAAGTCAAATATGACACAACCACTGTGAGGGCCAACCACAAAATATTCTACCCTCTACCATTAAAAGGATGGGTAAAATCAAAAGCAACTTTTAGTGCCATTTCAAGGTCTGTTTTTTGACCACACAAAAAAAGATTATTTTGTTGTAATGCTTGATTTAAATAACTTATCTAGTTTAAGGAAACTGGATTTAGAAATCATATTCACACTAGGCAAATTTACGAATCTTGTTTTGTGTATAAAATATGATGTTAGGGTCTCTGTTGTGTATAAGGGAGTTTTGAATTGTATTGTCAAATTCAATTTGACCAATAATATGTATATTGAAGTTTTTGAAAATGTTGAAAATAAAAAAATTTATTGGTTCACGAGGCAGAAATTGTGTGCTTCCATCACTAATTATATTTTATCTAACAATTCTCAAAATAGAATTGTTTTAAAAACAATCCCAATTCACGATAGTTTGACAGATTTCAAAAAAAGTAGCGATTTTCCTGGAGAGCATGCGGAAATTTGTTTAACTAAGGAAAATTGTGCTACTACGTCATGTTCTAACCATGTCAGTATAAACGCTGATGCTAATGTATCAACTTATCAAGTATGTGTAATGAAATTTTTTTACAGTCAATAATGTATCAACCGGAGTGTCCCTATCATCTGATAATTTGGGTCAACTAACTTTGGTTCTCTTTAATATTCAGTCTCTCAGAAACAAAACAGATGAATTTTTGTTATTTTTGGATGAGGTTAATTACCCAAATTTGGTCTTGGTTGAGAGAGGACGAACCTGTGTTTGTTCCGGGTTACACAGTTTTGTCATCATTCTGCAGATCTCGTTCGTCTCATGGAGGTTGTATGATATTTGGTAACAAAAACTTTTTAAAGGATAATTTATTCCAGCCAGTAGTAAAATATAATAATCTTCTCGAGGAAGTGCTTTTTGAATGCACAATTGTTTTTTCGATAATACTTGATTTGTATGTAGTTTGTATTTACCGTTCTCCGTTGTCGGATGTTAGAGCTTTTTTGGAGAGGCTGGATGAGCTGCTCTCTCATATTTCTGGTAATGCTTCAATAATATTGTGTGGTGACTTTAATATTAATTTTAATGAAGGAAGCTCGATTGATACTATCAATCTGAAGAATCTTTTGGCGTCCAGTAATCTACAGATGCATGTAGCCACCCCCACACATTATTCTAGGTTTTCGTCAAGTACAATTGATTATGTTTGCTCTAATTATGAAGAAAATAATATATCGGAATGTTCTGTGTGGAATGCAGAGCAGAGGTCGTTTGTGGTGCCCTATGTTCCGGGACTGCTCGTAGGGTAGGAAGAATTTTCTCAAAGCAAAATTATTCCTGATTTCGCCAGTTGTGTGCATCATGTACTCGGCTCCTATGACCCAATTCAAAAGTTTCATGCAACTGTTCAAGAACTTTTCAATAGTGCGTTTCTCATAAGAAAAATTAGAAATAAACCCCACAGGAAGCCCTGCTTTACCAAAGGTCTCGAGGTTTCTTCAAAGAATCTTATAACTCTACATACCATCAGAAGGTTTACATACTGTCCAGTTTTCCACCAATATTTTTTGAGTTATCGCTCCATGTATCGTAGATTGATTTCCTTGGCAAAGGAAACGTATTATCGTGACCGCTTGAGAAAATCAGGGAATAAACAGAAGGAAACCTGGAATATCATCAATGATATTCGCCGCAGTAATAAACATAATGTAGTGGATGAACCTGATACGTCGCCCGATTGCTTAAATAAGTTCTACTGTACCATTGCTGAGAGACTGTCCAGTGAAATATTGCCATCTGTGGATCCACTTTCCTATCTCTCAGATATCTCCGTCGGAAATTCCTTCTACTTTTTACCTGCTGATTTAGTGGAACTTAACATGACACTTCTATCCATTAAGAATAAGGATTCATGTGGAATTGATTGTCTATCTGCCAAGGTCTTTCTAAACACGCCTGATTCTGTTTTGACAGTGCTCGTGCAAGCTATAAACTCATCTTGGCTGAATGGTATTTTTTCGGCAGTCTTAACAACTGCTGAAGTAATTCCGCTGCACAAAGGCGGAGATCTTGATAATCCATCTAACTTTCGTCCTATTGCGCTTTTGTCAACGTTATCTACAATAATCGAAAAAATGGTAAAGTCAAGATTGTCGTCATTCTTAAGCAGGAACAATATTCTGAGTGTGGTTCAGTTTGGATTTCGAGAGGGCAGGAGTACGGCTGAAGCTATGTTTCATTTGCTCAGTATGCTTTTCAGTCACATTAATGATGGTGGAGTGACCGCGGCAGTTTTCTGCGACCTGTCGAAAGCGTTTGACTGTGTTAGACATGATATTCTGCTGTGTAAACTCAGCCAGTATGGCATCAGAGGGGTAGCTCTTTCTTGGTTTCAGTCTTACTTGAGTGGGCGAACACAACATGTATATGTTCTTGTTGATCATCCCATGCCATTAACTGGGGGGTACCTCAGGGTTCGGTACTTGGACCCCTTCTCTTTCTTTTGTATATAAATGACTTGGCTAGTCTGAAAGTTATGGGCAAATTTACTATTTTCGCGGGCGACACGACCATTGTGTGGCACTGCCCAGATGTTGTTTCAATGAGTGCCAGTGTTGTGTCAGATTTGAAACAAGTTAGGATTTGGTGTGATGCCAATATGTTGTCTTTCAACCTTGACAAGACTAAGGTGGTTGCTTTCGGATGGGCTTTGGATGGCATGGTTGTTGGAAGTGTTCCTGTTCCAAGTGTGTCAGAGCCTACGTTTCTTGGGCTTACAATTGATCGTGAACTGAGATTTAAGTCTCATATTCTTTCTTTAGCAAAGAAAATATCTTCAGGCTGCTTTGCTGTGAAGCTGTCTACTCGGGAACTGGGTGCCGAGGTTGGGAGGTCAGTTTATTTTGCACTTATTGAATCTAGACTTCGCTACGGTATAGCTTCCTGGGGTGCCGCAAGTAAACAACTGTGTAACTCTTTGTTTGTGATTCAGAAGCGTGCAGTGAGATATATTTACAGGGTATCACCAAGAACATCTGCATGCAGAACCCTTTTTGTTGAAAATGGAATTCTGCCAAGAGCCAAAAAGTGACAAGTTGATAATTCTCGGAAAATTGAACAGACGTGTAGGGTCAGATTCTGAGGCCTGGGAGGCTGTCATTGGCAGG